GCATGTGGTGCTGGGGGATTGAACCGCGGTCCCTGATGCTTTTGCTAAGCTTGTTCTAAGTAGGTGCTTTAGACCACTGAGCCATCTCTCCAGCCCCCAGACCCTAAATTGATACTCTTTAAATGGATTTCTGTAAACAGAAGTTAGAAAACCAGAAGTTGTTGAATCTGTAGACTTCTTCTTGGCATTTTTTTTTCCCTAGATAGCAGTGTACAGATTTTTAAAAAAGAATAAAGTGAAGATTTAGTTTTGTGTCAGACAAAACCTTGCTCTGTGGTTGAAACTGGCCTTGCACTCGCTGTATAGCCCAGGCTGACCTCCTATTCAAAGTGACCCTCCTGCCTCAGCTTTCTGAGGGCTGTGATCACAGGCATGCGCCACCCTGCCTGGTACAGAAGATTTAGTTTTGTACTTTTATTTATTTATTTCTTAGAATAATTTACTTCCTGTGAGATTTCTGGTATGTAACAGAACAGTATGGTTTGGTAATTAATAGTGCCTCCTAAAAGGAACTTGTGAAAATACAGACATCCTCCGTACAGACATCCCAACTATACGTTTAGAGGTGTTCCTGTTTTATTTGTAGGGTGTACAACTACGAGCCCTTGACACAGCTGAAGAATGTTCGGGCGAATTACTACGGAAAGTACATTGCTCTGAGAGGGACGGTGGTTCGCGTCAGTAACATAAAGCCTCTCTGCGTCAAGATGGCTTTCCTCTGTGCTGCTTGTGGAGAGGTTCAGAGCTTGTCTCTTCCAGATGGAAAATACAGTCTTCCCACAAAGGTAATGTGTTCCTGAACTGCTTCTTATCTTGGTAAAAAGGTGAATCAGTACACTGAAACATTTCCCAATGTTTCTGAACAGAGTTTAATTTTATTTTTCAAATTGTGAAATACTTTAGAGTCCAGGAAATATAGATGTAAGAGAAATATTCTTCTGTCCACCACCCAAAATTAGCATTTTTCAGCTCTATATATGCTTTTAAAGATAAAAAGCATTAGTTTCTCTTTTTAACACTGCCTGTGCCATTTCCAGAGATGACTACTATCTTTAAAAAAAATTTTTTTTCCTAAGTTTGTTATTTCTTTCTTCACTTGGTACAGGGTCTCGCGACACTCAGACTTGTACTGATGCTCCTGTCTCAGCCTCCCCAGTGCTGGGAGCATAGGTGTGCGCCACCATGTCTGGTTTGAGTGGCTGGCACGCACCACAGCATATGGTACCAGGGATCCCACCTGGGTCCTTGCACTTAGGCCACTGGGCTAGCTCCCCAGCCCGGTGATCACTGTCTTGAAGTCATCGTGCAGGCTTTCCATTGATGTTCGTATACTCTGACTTAATAAGTAATGCACATCACTTTCCTAATGTATTTTTTTCTCTTTACTGACCTTTTTGTTTTTAAATCCTGAATTTTAAAGGTAAAAAAGTTCCAAGCACAGTGTAACTAATATCTATGTAGTCATCATTTGACTATCAATTACCAAATTGTTATTTTAGCTTTTTTTGGACAGAAAATATAAAGTATTATGCTTAAGTTGAGTCTTTTGTCCCCTTCTGCAATTCTGTTGACCTATCCCCAGTGGCAACCGCTTTTTTTTTTTTTTCTCTTTTTTTAGGGTGGTACTGGGGATCAAATTGCCTTGTGCTTGCCAGGCAGGCACTTAATGCCACTGAGCTATCTCCAGGCTCTACTACTTTAAAGGTAGCATGTATGTTAGGTCTGCATTTTTATTCTTGACTCTAAGTATATGCAGGGTTACTTTTGTGTTGTGCTCTCATAAATAGATGCTAATATGACTTTTTTTTTTTCCTTTGGTGGAACCGGGGATTGAACTCAGGCCCTTGCGCTTGCCAGGCAAGCACTTATTCTACTGAACCATCTCCCCAACCCCTGCAAATGTGACTTTCTACCACTTGTTTTCTCTTTGTTTCTGCTTACTTAATACACACCTAATTCTTTGATTTTTACAGTTGTACTCATGAGAGTATTCCATGAAGTGAATAGTGACTGTGTATCCATGGAGGGCATTTGAGTTGCTTTACAGTTACAAATGATCCTGCATCCTGCTTTCTGGACACATCTCATTAGCAGAGGCATTTCTAAGTTAGAGGTTTTATTTATTGTGAACTGTATTAGATGTTGTCACATTACTTCCCAGAGTATCAGCATCAACTGACACCCTTACTAGCATGTTAAGCTGTTATTTCCTTATATTTTGATTGACACTTGGTATAGTTGGACTTTCTAATCTTTTGCTAGTCTGATGGGTAAATGAGGGCCAGGAAGATAGCTCAGTGCATAAGTACCTGCCTGGCAAGCACAAGGTCCTGAGTTTA